ATCGTTTTATGTAATCATATTTATAACAATAAATATTAATTGAAGAAAAAATGGGGGTCCATGGCCAAGTGGTTAAGGTTGCTGACATCAAACAACTTGCCTGTCACTGAGTCTCACTGCTGTGGTTCAGATCCCTACAGGGACTTTGGATTTTTTTTCCTCATATTTTGAGGAAGCTATCCAGCTAGTTTACTGGACGTCTGTGGTTCTTCTTCCATATATCTGTGTATATGCAATGAAAACTCAACCAAAAAAAAAAAAGGAAGGAAAAAGTAAAAGTAAAGTTATTAATGATATTACTACACATAAGACTTGATTGAAAGAATGAGTTTCCTTTCCTAATTTGGTTTCAGGCAGCCTATCAAGTGTGGACAAACAATTCGATTAATGCACTTACAAACTCGAAGAAATTTACATAGTCATCATTTTCAGTCACCATTATCACATAATCTAGAAGTGAGTGCCTTTGGTGAAGATGGTGATGGCGATGAGGGTAGGTAACTCTTGTTGTAAATTTAATTTTTAAGTTGTAAAGTGGGCCTTTTAACATCTTAGATATTTAACTAGACGACCTTCACTCTTTACCAGTAGAATTTCTCTTTTTCTGAAAGAGACAGATTCTCAAAAAAAAAGGACACTACCTTAAAGGGTCAATGTTTTAACCCAGATGTTCCTCTGACATTTGGATCTATAGGGGTATGATCTAATGAGCCTAATGTCTAGAAATTGAAATGGCTTTGACTTGCAATCAGTTCTTCAATAACATGTTTGTTTGCTTAGATTTAGAACTGTAATGTAACAGTATGTTGTTATGGGATGTGGGACATCTGTGGTTGAGTGGTTACCACTGTGGGTTTCAATCCGGATAGGAGACTTAAGATTCTTTGATGTGAGAAAGCTATCCAGCTAGCTTACAGAATGATGGTACTATATGTGTAAAAAGGAGGTTATCGTAGAACTAATCAGCAATTAAAATTGTATCATTGTCTTACCTTCTATGGCTTAACTTAATTTAAAAATGCTCAAAATATTCAAAATAATTGTTAAGATAATTGGTACTTTATTATTATTAACTCAAAAACTGAAAGGAGGTATTATTACAATGTATTCCATCACAAGGTTTTAAACTTCTCACATATGTTTTGATTTTGATATTGTGACTGGTTTAGGAATGTCTGACTTATGATATATTTTGCTTAAGCTGATGAATGTTATAATTGCATAAATCATTGTCATTCTTCAATAAAACTTTTCAGTTTGATCATTACATCATTATTATTATATTTGGAAAAAATAATAACAGGTACCCCGTTTGAGCGTCAAGGTACAATATACAGTCGTCTATACAGTGGTTTAGATTTAAAACTCTTTTGTATGGAGTTACCTTTCTTGTTTTAAATGTATAATCATTATTAATTATACAAATGTGAAATAGCTCTTTGAATTGCATTATTAACCATATTGTTTCCTGTAAGCAACCCCTATAATTAGTGCCCCACACCCTCAAACTCCCCATTCCTACCCCAAAATAATTTTACAGAAGAAAGTAGTATGTCAAGGCATCTTAATGACTTTAAAATCTAAAACAAATAAATCGTCCTTTTTAAGTAATAACATTACTGGTAAATTTCAGGCATTGTATTCATTTTAACTGTTAAATTGTGTCAATAACTAAAGATTTTGATCACAAGGATTAATGTAATTTTAGTGGCCACCATATGTGTAAACATATTTCATGTTATAATTTATAATGTTTAAACATATTCATTTTTAGCAGTTATTATTTAGCACCTTGCTTTAGAAAAAAAAAGCTTTCATTTACAGAGGCACTAATTTGAAACAATATGGTATGCAAATAAGAAATTTTCTAAGTAAAATACGAGGGGTTATCCAAAAATTTGTGGACTTTCTTTATTGCGTAAAATATATTTGAGATATTGATTTGAAATTTGAACAATTCATGTTAGTAGCCGTTTATATTAAAACAATATTTAATTTTACATAAACACATGTCGGTGACAGCGGCACACTCCAAAAAGCTATTTACGTTAACGTCATAATAACGTTTACAACTTGTGCTTCAACGTTACTGCTTCTCAAAGTTATGTCCATCACTTAATATTTAATGCCACTTAAATACTAATGATCGTGAAATTTTATTCTCTCTGTTCGCCTGCTGATTTTTTTTCTCAAATGTTTTTGTCTTTTTAGCTCACCTGTCACAAAGTGACAGGGTGAGCTTTTGTGATGGCTTTTCGTCCGGCGTCCGTCCGTCCGTAAACTTTTTCTTTAAATGACATCTCCTCATAAGCCACTAAGCCAATTTCATCCAAACTTCACAGGAATGTTCCTTTGGTGGTCACCTTTAAAAATTGTTCAAAAAATTTAATTCCATGCAGAACTCTGGTTGCCATGGCAACCGAAAGAAAAACTTTAAATATCTTCTTTTAAAAAACCATAAGAGCTAGAGCTTAGATATTTGGCATGAAACATCTTCTAGTGAGTGTCTACCAAGTTTGTTCAAATAAAAGCCCTGGGGTCAAAATTGGCCCCGCCCTGCGGGGTCATTGATTTTCCCTATATGCATATGGTAAAAACTTAAAAAATCTTCTTTTAAAGAACTCAAAGAGCTATGGCTAAGATATTTAGCATGATACATGTTCTAATAGGTGTCTACCAAGTTTGTTCAAATAAAAGCCCTGGGGTCAAAATTGGCCCCGCCCCAGGGGGTCATTGATTTTCCCTTTATGCATATAGTATAAACTTAAAAAATCTTCTTTTAAAGAACTCAAAGAGCTATGGCTAAGATATTTAGCATCAAACATCTTCTAATAGGTGTCTACCAAGTTTGTTCAAATAAAAGACTTGGGGTCAAAATTGGCCCCGCCCCAGGGGGTCATTGATTTTATTTATATGTGTAAAGCAAAAACTTAAAATCTTCTTTGAAAAAACCCAAATAGCTAGAGTTTAGATATTAAGCATGAAACATCTTCTAGTGTCTACAAAGTTTGTTCAAATAAAAGCCCTGGGGTCAAAACTGGCTCGGCCCCAGGGGTGTCATTGTTTTTAACTATATGTGTATAGTAAAAACTTTAAAAAAATCTTCTTTTAAAAAGCCCAATGAGCTAGAGCTTAGATGTTTAGCATGAAACATCTTCTTATGGGTGTCTACCAAGTTTGTGCAAATAAAAGCCCTTGGGTTAAAATTGGCCCTGCAACGTTGTGGGGGGGGTGGGGGTTGGGGGGCCTATATACAGGTGAGCGACCTCAGGGCCATCATGGCCCTCTTGTTTAAGGTGTCATTCCCAGATTACAAAAAAAAAATACAATCGTGCAATTTTCTAATTTTTGCGTGTCCGTCATTTTCCTGTTGTAAACAATGTCGGCGACTGGCGTTTCTAGCGGTTTCAACAAAAGTTTACGGAAATGACGTCTATAGTTTTAAGAATTACTTACATGACATCATAGAATAAACATGTGATTTTTAGCCGATTTTCTATGTTAATTATTAGTTTTTTAGCAAAAAATATACGATGACTAACTGCGCTTTTCTACTGTGCTCCGGGTGCCGCGTATGTGCTTATTTAAAGCAATATAAAATCAGTTTTTATTGACACAATTAACTGTTCCTTTCAAAATGGGTTGATAATATTATACAATGTATGCTGATAAAATTTCATTACAATACACGTTGACGTTCAAGAGATATTTAAAAAGTCCACGAATTTTTGGATAACCCTCGTACATTAAAATGTTTGCATTGAAACAAATCTCAACCACTGTATTATAATGTTATTATTTTTAATGTAAACAATGTTAAGTTTCTTCAGTTATTTTATTAAAGTTATTTTATCCAGTTACTTTTGAGGGAATTACCAAAAAATTTAGGTCCTATACTTCTGCTTTCAGTTTTAAACTATTGTACAGCCAACTGTGTACTGTTGGTGCTTTCTTTCCCTTCCTATAGCAGAGCTGTTTACTTGGATATTTAACTTTAGAAATATTTTAAAATAATGCGGTTTTTGCTGAAATTAAATCTACATCAAGCTCCCCACCCCAAACCCCTCAAAATTACCATGTTATATTTTCCCAAATAGCAGTTCATTTCACAAGAAGAATATTAAGCAAATAATTACTGTTATTTTCTTTTCTTTTCATAATATCTTTCTGTTCATAATACCTTTCTGCAATGCTTATGAACCGCCTCCGTGGTCGAGGGGTTAGAGTCGATGACTTCTAATCCAGTTACCTCTGTGGCGTGGGTTTGACTCCCGGGAGATGCTTTGGTAGTTTAGCACGGAGGAAGGTAGTCTAGTACTGGTGTAACTCTCCAGGAACGATGGTTAGGAAACTACCCGCCTATAATATATGACTGAAATACTGTTGGGAGAAGGCGTAAAATGAAACAAACAAACAATGCTTATGAAAAATTTTTGTGTGCATTCGTCACCTTTGTGGCAGCTCTTGTTTCTTCCTTGTTTATACACTTATTTATTGTGATTTGTATCATTTCATTAAATGTGTATATTTCTACATGTATTTATTTATCTGTTACTTCATATAAATTTGGGAATGGTGGGAAATAGTCAGCTAGTATTAAAATATGGGTAAAGATGTACATTGTATTCTTTCATTTTGATTTTTCTTAGAGGCTATTCTTTCTCAGCCAGCATTTGTATATAACTTGTTTATAATTTTTGAATTTTGTATGTTTAGTCCTCAGGTGACACCATATTTTTCTGTTATCTTGTTCATTGAGTATAATGGTCATATGTCTCTTACCAATGATTCAGAAATCATTTGGTATTAATTTGTAGTATGTCATTTGCAGAGAAATAGGTAATTACCAGTTAGTTATCCAGGAGAACCGGTTAGGTGGATATGACTTTATATGACATGTTGCCTGTAATCCAGTACACATTAATACTATAAATATGTAGCTATTATTTACATTTTTGGTAAAGTGAGAAAGAGTGAAATTGATTATAAAAATGTGCTTTGTTGTAAATCACCATTCTCATAGACTTACTCAGGAATTAAGAATATTTTGGGCTTTTCCTAAAGCTAATCCCAAGGTACCAACAAACTTTTACAGTTACAACATGGAAAATAAGCGCAACAGGTTGACTAATCTATTATTATAGGTAGTGCACCATGAAGCTATCTATAATGATAAAAGTTTGTTTCTACTTATGGAAAAACCCACATTTGCCGAGTTTGGGAAAATACTATTTGCTACTGATGACATAGTCTAAAAGTGGTAAAAAAATTAACTTGAGCCATTGCTCAGAAATAACTTATTGTGATACGGCAGTCTGTAAATAAAGTTTTCTGAGAAACTAGCCTGACTGGCATGTAAAAAATAGCAGTCAGTCACCTTTATTTCTGAAAATGAAAAAAAAACAAAAACTAATTTATCAATTCAGGGTATAGATTAAAAAAAAACATGAATAATTATTCTTGAATGACTTTTTACTTTCTTAAAGTTTTAACATTTTTGGCGTTGTATAAACCTGATCTGGCTAGTAGATATTACCAACCACTAGTCTTTGTGGTTTTCTGGTTGGAAACGTTTTGACTGCAATAATAGTTACTGTTCTGATCAGGGAAAGTAATTATTTGTTGAAATTTTGGAATTATATGAGTAAAGACATAGTTAGAAATATACAGCGGTTGGCTATGTATGTATAATGTATTCCATATTTTGTGTATTTCAGGAGATAATTGGTCTATAGTTTGTTCTGGAAAATACTGGAACAGAAAAGATAAAGTGAGGATAAAGAACGTTGTTACAGAATAGTAAGTTACTTTTACTTTACTGTAGTTTTTCTTTAAGCCCATTTCGAATAGGGCAGAGTCAGTTTGAATTTTGATAGAATGTAAACATGGGCCACCCTGTGAAAGAGCATCAAATTGATGACTAGAATTGTCTATTCTTCAGTGAGGTAAAAGTGCTTAATGGACTTTTCCAACTTCCATTTTTGAAACTGTCCATTATTTTATTACAGTAGAATTTCTATCAGTCAGACTTTAATTCAAATTAAAATGAATGTCCCGATATTTTCCCCTATATATTCTATATAAAAACCTATGTACCCGTAGAAATTTTATGCGTCAATTTTTTCGATGTGCCCAAATTTTTTTGTTGTGGTCGGTATAGAAAAAAATCAAGTACAATTTACCATAGATATTTCTAAGTCATTTGATAATTTTAATGCCTTTGATCTTGAGACATTTTTCACACCTTTTCTGGCTGCGAAGATGATTTCCGATCAACTTGTGTGACAGATGTTAATTACCTAGACTATGTTCTAACAGCCTTTGTATAAGCTCACATTTATGATAAAATGCGTTTCAATTGTTATCATTCAAATTGCCATAGTTGTATTTCAAAATAAACATTACAAATAAGTTTTGTTTGAAAACTTCATTGACCCTGTGCTGTGTGATAACACACTGGATAAATTTACTAGAAGCTAGTTCAATTATCGCCCTTTCTTTTTGATATCCCTTTTGTATTTGGTTTGTAAATGTTGAAGGCTTGAATTTTGTTTTTAAATAAAGACCGATTCAAGTTCCGATGTGTCGAAGTTTTTACACAAGTCCCTTTAACATAGACAAACCAGAGTTCTACTGTACATGTATTTCATTAGCTATAATATGGGCTTTATAGCCCTTAATAATACCAAATGTAGTCTTTGATAATAATTGTATTTAGTTACAAATTTATGGCCGCTTAATTTCTTTCATTTTATTTTTCAGTTACCTACATGTGACAGGTGATACTTACGGTCGTCCAATCAAAAACCAGCGTGAGGTTTGCGGATACTCTTCACCAAATGAGTTAAACTACTGGCAAGCGATGGAAGGAGTTTTTGTCACGCCCTCGGAGGACCCTCAAGGGACGTTCAGGGGAGATTTGAATGCTCATCAACATGCACATACAGAATTATGATCTATTTTTAGACACTCTAGGATTTTAATTTAATTTTTCTTTTTTCCAAAAATATTGTCTCCTATTTTTCTTCTCTTGAACAAGTTTTCTTAGCAAGATATTGTGTGTTTACATTTTTTAAATGTTTAGTGGCAATTACTTGAGTTGAAAAATGATTCATTGTTGTAATAATTCAAGATTTTGTCTGTTTCATTATTATTTCTTTATCTTATTTTCATCTAACATTGTTTACTCTAAAAAAAAACAATGATTCAACTTAACATTTGGATATATGTATATATGAGTCATAAAATTTTGTGACAAGTCCATTTAAGAAATTAAGTAGGATAAGGATTGGAAAATTATAAGTATTCATGCAATTGTATGATACTATTTTTAGATGTAAGACACAACTTGATATTTCCAGTTGGTTTACAAACAAGAAGTTAACAAGTTAGGAAGATATGTGGTATTTTTCCTTTATGCTTTTCTCTGTAATATTTTTCTTCTGTTTTTTCTTTTTTTTAATTTCTAAATTTTCTAAAGTAAATATTCTTTACTATATTATACTCAAAATGTGTTTACATATATATGTATATGTGTGTTAAATAAATGTTTTGTAAAGTTGGGAATAGTGAAATTTTTGTATGTTGTGTTTAAAAAAAATATTGTTTATCTGTAGTTACGAGTAGAAGTTATTTTTCTATGGAATCTTTAGAGGTGAATTTTAAGGTGTTTTTTCCATCTTAAGTTGTTTAAAAATCAGCCATAACTAGGTTCACCTTCAGAAGCAAACAAATCATTTAGAAATCAAAAGATTCGGCAAGATTTTTTTATTGCTCCTGCAAGCATGATGGCCTATTTTCTACATAACTACTTACTTTATTGTTATAAATAGAAAAATATTTTAAAAATTGTACATCAGCTGCAGGAAGAGACCAGAAAGTCTGGCTTGAGGTAAATATTTACAGCCGTAAACAGACTGCTCCTGCCTGAAAGAATACACAAATAAACAGTTTCCAAACTTAGTCTAAGCAGACAACGGGCTATTCTTATCAGTAGTTTTTTGAGTAAAGGTAACCAGTTTCGTTTCTCACTGTATAAATCGTATGTAAAATGGTCTGACATATGGTAGTTTTAACAGTTAATATAAATACTTTGGTGTCAAATGTTTTGAAGTAAATACTGTGACGAAGCTGAGATCTAAAGCTTTCAATTGGTGTACTAAATTTTAAAGTTGGACATTAAATCACAGCAAAAGTGGTTGAAAAACGGCTTAATTTGTATTGTTACTACATAAGAGATATTGATTTTACTCAAGATAAGGGAAACAACTGGTATTTTATTCTCTCTATATACCTTGGTTAATTACATAGTTCATATCGAAAGTGTTTATGGGTGTATTAAAATTGTCCATCTATTTTTAGCTCACCTGTCACAAAGTGACAGGGTGAGCTTTTGTGATCGCTTTTCGTCCGGCGTCCGTCCGTCGTCCGTCCGTAAACTTTTGCTTTAAATGACATCTCCTCATAAACCACTGAGCCAATTTCATCCAAACTTCACAGGAATGTTCCTTTGGTGGTCACCTTTAAAAATTGTTCAAAGAATTTAATTCCATGCAGAACTCTGGTTGCCATGGCAACCGAAAGAAAAATCTTTAAATATCTTCTTTTAAACTACCCTAAGAGCTAGAGCTTAGATATTTGGCATGAAACATCTTCTAGTGAGTGTCTACCAAGTTTGTTCAAATAAAAGCCCTGGGGTCAAAATTGGCCTCGCCCCAGGGGGTCATTGATTTTCCCTATATGCATATTGTAAAAACTTAAAAAATCTTCTTTTAAAGAACCCAAAGAGCTAGAGCTAAGATATTTAGCATGAAACATCTTCTAGTGAGTGTCTACCAAGTTTGTTCAAATAAAAGCCCTGGGGTCAAAATTGGCCCCGCCCCAGGGGGTCATTGATTTTCCCTATATGCATATAGTAAAAACTTAAACAATCTTCTTTTAAAGAACCCAAAGAGCTAGAGCTAAGATATTTAGCATGAAACATGTTCTAATGGGTGTCTACCAAATTTGTTCAAATAAAAGCCCTGGGGTCAAAATTGGCCCCGCCCCGGGGGTCATTGATTTTCCCTATATGCATATAGTAAAAACTTAAAAAATCTTCTTTTAAAGAACCCAAAGAGCTAGAGCTAAGATATTTAGCATGAAACATGTTCTAATGGGTGTCTACCAAATTTGTTCAAATAAAAGCCCTGGGGTCAAAATTGGCCCCGCCCCGGGGGTCATTGATTTTCCAGATATGTGTATGGCAAAAACTTAAAAATCTTCTTTGAAAAAACCCATATAGCTAGAGTTTAGATATTAAGCATGAAACATCTTCTAATCAGTGTCTACAAAGTTTGTTCAAATAAAAGCCCCAGGGTCAAAATTGGCCCTGCCCCGGGGATCATTGATTTTCCTTTTTTGTGTATAGCAAAAACTTAAAAATCTTCTTTGAAAAAACCCAAATAGCTAGAGTTTAGATATTAAGCATGAAACATTTTTTAGTAAATATCTACAAAGTTTGTTCAAATAAAAGCCCGGGGGTCAAAACTGGCCCTGCCCCAGGCGTGTCATTGTTTTTAACTATATGTGTATAGTAAAAACTTAAAAAATCTTCTTTTAAAAAACCCAATGAGCTAGAACTTAGATGTTTAGCATGAAACATTTTCTTATGGGTGTCTACCAAGTCTGTTCAAATAAACAAATAAAAGCCCTTGGGTAAAAATTGGCCCGGGGGGGGGGGGGCTATATACAGGTGAGCGACCTCAGGGCCATCATGGCCCTCTTGTTCAGTCTTATTTTAGATGCAACACCTTAAAAGTAGAGAATTTAGTATACTATATGTATGTATGAATGAGGGACCAAAATGCTTAGTATTATAATATTAAGTAATTCTAAGAAGGGATTTGAAATCCAAAGTAAAATAATAGGTAAAATGCTTTGATATTGTATTTGTTTGGTCAGGTTGAAGATATATATTTTTTGTGCTTAAAGAAAAAGAAACATGGGTCTTATTTGTGAAAAGTAGTGACTTTATTTACATATTTGTGATATTTTTTGTCCATATTTCATATGTGTAAGGCTATATCAGTGTTATTAAATCAAGTTAAAACAAGTAATGATTTTGTCGAGTTAATCTGTGTGCTATTTAACATACCAGGCTTTTTTGTGGTTCTGTATATCCCCACTTTGCATTGACATGGAATTTCTATAAATTTCTTAAGTATGTCAAATTACATACCTGTACTTTCAATTCAAACTTCATGAAAATTGCTAGCATATCTTAAGAAGTTAACCATTAATTACATTTTTGTGCTGAAGTTAAGAATTTTATAAAATGATATTTATTGTTCTCAAGTAAATAATGTCTCTGCTGCTCTTTGAAGTGAAAAATTGTTGTTGTTTTTGGTGGTATCTTTCCTTTAACTAAAAAAGTTTTGATAGAAAAATTGTTAATAGCAAATGTCAGTGAAAGATAATAATTGGCATTAAAGCTGCACGCCTCCAGATGAGCCAAAATATTTCAAGAAATTCAATATTGAGGAAAATGCACTACACTTTTTAGAAAGGTAAAAACATTTAAGATCCAAGTTATATTTTACACGTTATGTGCATTTTTCAGTATTTTATCACCATATTTCTACTACGTTAATAACGCAGTAAGGGCTGTTTTTGCATATGTTGACCACTTTTTGGTAATTTTCAGTGAATTTTCGGTGAATGTTAGTGCCGATTGCAATATTTAAATTACTTTATTTGTTCACCTCACATTATTTTACTTTTAAATAAGTTTTCAAATTTTTATGAAAATTAACATGAATCTGGAGGCGTGTTGCTTTAACACCATATGACCAGATTGAGCTTGAATTTGTTTTTATTTAAATGGGAGAATAAGACATAGCACTTACTTTAAAACTGTTATAGGTTATACTTTTATTGTATGTACTGTCACAGGAGGTGCAAATATTAAATAAAATATTTGAAAAATCAACACATTTAGTTATTATTTACTAGTATTATTAAATATGTTTTCAATTTTCCAAGAATCTGTAATGGGATATGTCAGCTGTCAAAATTAAATAGTAGTGGAAAAAGACGGATACTAGATTTATTAACTAGATTTGTGTACAACATAATTTGTGGCAAGATTTTTAGATAAAAAAGTGTCCGTAGTTTATCATTATAATTTGTATAAACAAAATTTCCTCCAAATCCACTTGGTGGATTTTGACGAAACTTCACAGGAATGATCCTCTTCTTCACAATTATAATGCCAAGAGTATAGATTTATAGCATGTAGCATCACTTTATGGTTCTCTACAAAAGCTTTATAAAACTTAATCCCAAAGTCGAAATTGGCAACCAAGGTCATTTGTGTTCTGCGAGTAATATGCCGAATCTGTCCTTTATGTATTTTCGAAAAATAGAGTTATATACTTGTGTACCGTTAAAGCTAAAATAGAAATATGACTTTTGTCCCAGAAGGTTATAACAAAGCATCTGAATTATAAATTGAGCTTGACTATGTGCCAAACTTTAAAATTTGAAACATTTGAAGTAGATACACTGGAAATTTATTGGACTACAGAAGTTGAGAAGTAATGCATTAGATATTCATTGAATATATATTATCACACTTCACATTATTCTGCTATCAAACAAACAGGACTGTCGAGTGCATAACGGCATAAAAACGTTGTGCTTTCACGTCGTATGACGTCATATTTGATGTGAATAAACCAGATGACGTCAGAAAAAGTACTTCTACGCCCAAAGTCTAGTTCAAGATGTTTTTTTATCGATTCTCTTTTAATAGGCATGTTAGGTTGATAAATATATATTTTTTCGTTGTACTATAATAATGCACTGTTTATCGTTCAAATGCTTTGTAATTAAGCTCTTGGTCGTGACTATACATGTAATAATGCGGAATTGAACCTGGACCGTTTATTATTTTACCACGACGCACTCAAATTTGTTTCTTTTTTTTTTAATTGACTCTATTTTTGACGTCAACTGATGTGTTTAATTCCTTTTCCATATTTATGCAGTCGTGCAGCAAGTTTCATTTCATTAGAAGACAATGTTACGCTTTACCACACTTGTGGAAAGGTTTGCAGTTACTAGTGGGAAAGATTTGTACACGTAAATGCATTTTCTAGGAATAGTTGCTAAGTAACTATACGACGTTATATGACTGGAATATCGTGCACGCACCCTCTTAAAGTAGAAAACAACAACAGAATTATCAAAACAATATGTAGGATACAATAATATATCCGATGATTGACTTAGTTAATAGCACCGTGCTAAGATTAGACAGGTGGGGATCTTAAAACTACTCACAGTGTCCAAATTCAACTCGCTAAATAAATAGCTAGTGGTTTGTAAAGGGATTCCGCGGAGATTTTTTACGTGAAGGGACAAGATTATTATACGTATTGATTTCTATCTGGACCAATACTTTGTGTGCAAAATTTCAGATCATTTGCTTTCCAGAACAATCATTTACATTGTGCAAAAGTGAATTTTTAGCGTTAAATGTTTTTAAATCAAGATGTAGACACATCACACAAAAAAGAAAAATCGATTAAATTAAACGACGACTTCTGGAAATGACATTTTTAACTTAATTTAAATGTGATTTATTGTTGTAGTTGCATGGTGGTGTTAATAAATAAATAGTTTTTTTATGTAACAAAAAACGGTTTATTTTGTATTACATCAATAAATTTACCTTGTCACAATATTGTAACGTGTCAAAGCTAGACTCTGAGATATTTTTTTCATTCTGGACCATACAAATAATAGCACAATACTGAACTCGAAGTAGTTACTAAAATGCACATTTAGTTTGACTATAAAAAGACCTTGATAATAAGTAACAGCTATTTTTGTATCGCGCGAAATTAATTAGAATGATCATTATCATCACCAGAATATATTTTAGATATTATTTCTCCATTATATCCAACGAAAGTCTCTCTTTTTTCATTTCAAATGAACAATATAAAAAAATTAGCACATCGCTGAATAATGTCCCTTTATTCTTGTACGCCGTTTGCAATTAATTATGTACGGCCGTGTTGCTTGAGGAATACACGCGTTCTGACGTTATTGGAAAGAAAATGTTTTGTGATTTTACTGTGAGTATTGATGATTAATTTAACATGGATATTTATTATTTAGTGTAAAGCATTCTCGAACAACTTCGGGACAATATAAGCAGAATGGCATTATCATGTTCATAGGCAAGTACTTAGCGTTTTTATTCAATACTGTATAAGTTTGTCAGCTCATGAGGATTTTAGTCTTTTTTATTCCTGATTCTAGGCATCTTTAAAGAAAGGACTGTGTAAAAGACTCGCCTAGTGAAGCTGATAAAGTACAACATTTTGTTTAACTATGATGTTGATTTTATCACAATCCCTATTAGGCCTATCGCCAGAAATGTTCAAGTGTAAATGGAAAGGTACTGTGATCAGAAGTAACACGTGTATTTAACGCATGACAGGGTACACACTGAAATTATAGGCTTGCAAGACAGGGTGAAATGATTTTTTTATCTACTGTGCAAATGACTAAATCGACTTCTCAAGTATCTTCTCTAATCAATGTTTTCTCTTTCGTAGAATGAAGAATTAATTTATGTGCTGTCCATCTGAGTATGAAAAAGCGAAGAAACAAGAGCCAAATAACACAGCAGAATTCTCATGAAAGACGTTTATACTTATGTGACATGTGTTTGGAAACATTTGAAACCGGAAACAGATTACGTGAACATAAGGTGTTACACACATGTAAAAAGCCGGAAATGTCTATGAATTCTACAGGGCATTTTAATTCAGACAACTGTCTTAAGTTACAGGAGTTAGATTCGTTCAAAATTCTCAAAAGACTGTTGCAGAATGGTCTAAAACACAGGCTAGAGGCACACATAAACGGCAAGTTACCGACAAATCCAATGAATAACTTCAAAACTACAAGCCTGCTTAAGACATCATCGTTTAAGATGAAAAGTAACAAACGACCAAAGACTGAAACTCACCCAATAGACGAAACGAACAGATTATACAAATTTTGTTGTGCCGAATGTGGAAAAAGATACAGATCAAAAGCTGCATTGAGAATTCACTTGAATAGTCACTTTGGTATTAAAGAATTTCAGTGTCCGAAATGCGGGCTTCGTCTTTCTCAAAAAGGTGGATTAACTGTTCATATGCGAATACATACAGGTGAGAAACCATTCTCATGCGAAGTTTGTGGCATGAGATCTGCTCAACCTGTGTCACGTGAACATATGTCAAAACACACGGGGGAAAGATTACACAAGTGTGACTTATGTAGGGCAGAGTTTGGATCTAAAACAGTTCTAAAAACGCACAAGATAGCCAAACACACGCTTCTACGACCGTTCCAGTGTGACATTTGCAAGAAAACATTCGCTGACAAGCATTACATGACTAAACATCGGACAATTCATCGAGATGTAAAACCTTATCCATGCACAAAATGTGAAAAATCGTTCATTACAAAATCAAACTTACGACGCCATCTTGAAATTCACACAGTTCGAAAATCTCACGTGTGCACCGTTTGTTCCAAATCATACAATAACTCAAGCAGTCTGTTGTACCACATGACTACACATTCGAATGAACGTAAATTTTTGTGCGGTATATGCGATCAACAGCTTGCATCAAAGCAAAATGTAAAAAAGCACATGGAATTACATGCTCGGAGCATACAAGCACCAACCAAACAAAACAGTAATCAAAACAAAAAGCACATGGAAATAAGAGCATACCAGAAGCAAACTACACAAAAAAAACACATGAAAAAACACAACTGAAGCAAACTTAACAAAAGACACAATAAAAATTTCTGATCGAAACAGACATGCCCAAATTTTTCAAGACAAGATGAAAAACAACCGATTGGCTGAATATTTTTTTTAAAGAAATTAACATGGAACTTATTCATGTTTTTAGAGACTATTTGATATTCATTTTGATTGAAAACGTTTTAGTTAACGCGAAAAGAAAAATGTGGAAATTGAAATGTTGGCTTATCAAGTGAAAGTGTAATGTTTAGTGGATTTATATACTAGTAAAATGACGATTTTCAAAATGATACTCTTGAAAGAAGTAAGTATGTGTTGACATACTTTTTGTCAAGCGTTGTTTTTTTTCTGAATTTCCAGATTTTTTTCAACAACGAGCTATTTTTGGTTTTACTTAATATATTATGTTCATTTTTGTTTACTGTTTTACTTATTTAGTTAAATAAAAGAATAAAAATTCTTGTTAATTAAATTTAAGATGTATTTTTTGTTTGTTTTTTTTTCCTGTTTAGCAAAAGCTATAGTGTAAAGTTCATTTTTTCAACACCATAAGTACTAACAGTCGCTGTGTGATATTTCTTTTAACATGTTATTCTTAAATATGCAACAATTTGAAATGATAAATTGATATATATTGAGTTTTTGGCCTTTACAAGTTTGTGCAATTAAAAATAATAATGTACAGGTTTAGTTTATACAAATTTATTTTAGTTCGATTGTGTAGGAAGCTATAAGCTTAGTGATCGTTCCTGGAACCAACCAGTACTTACCAATGAATATAAAGTATCATGCCCAAGAAAACAACGGCTTGCCCCTGACAGGGTTTGAACCCGCCCGGTAAGCAATCCTTAGGTTACTAGTGGACGTGTTAACGAGTCGGTCTCGCCGCCACTCGCGTACCGGTTTGAACATCAGTCTGACAGTTTTCATGGATAGTTTAGGTAAGAATGCTACTCAATATCGTATACAATGCTGGTAATACCTCTATATATTTTCTGATTTAGATGATTGGTATAGCAATTTCAAAAATATATTAGAAATACGACCTTATTCATATCTTTTATTAGAAATTACTTTCAAATAAGATCCCAAATAAAGAATGCAATGCGACAAGTGTAGGTGTACTTCTTTCACATGATAATAAGAAAAAGCAAAAGTTCACACTCTTCATTTAAAATCTATAGTTAACGAAGAAAATAAAAAGCAAACATTAAAAGATTATTGCACTGGGGCTACCTTTTATCAAACAGATTGAACTTGAATTTATAACAAATAGTTTATTAGGTGAACTTACGAACGTGTATACAGATAGAGACTTTAAGGTCACATACTATCATTATAGTAACGAAACTTTTGACCCGGTGAAACCGGAAGTAACGCCCTACTTTTACTTTCATACTGACATGTTTCTAATCTTGATATTCTTATAATACAACGTCCATATATTTTTTTTAATGCGTTTATTTAAGGTCGCCGCCGTACACTCAAGTCGGGCCATCCTAGAGCGTCCCGCCGAGATTTTTTCGTCGATTTTTTTCCAGCTTAACTGGTGGAGGAAGACCCCAGGTGCCCCTTCGGGCATTTTTTCTGGCACGAGCGGGCACCTGGGTGGAACCACCGACCTTCCGTAAGCCAGCTGGATGGCTTCCTCACATGAAAGATTTCGACCCGAGTGAGGATCGAACCTACAGAGATTAGGGACCTGTGATCTCAAGTCAGCGACCTTAACCACTCGGCCACGGAGGCCCCCAACGTCCATAAGCTGTTTAAAAAGTTTATATAAGCTGCTGAAACGCATTTTCCCGCCATGAGACATATTGTCACGGTGCTTGGTATAAGATATGTTAAAAGACGAAGGTTTCTGAATGTCGCACACTGTAGATATGTCGTATGGTCTTTTTACATGAAGAAAGGTTGCTTATGCCTGTAAAGGACATAAAACATACGCCTTGATAATTAAAAACATAAGACACAATTTCTGGCGCAAACCAAGAGAAATATTTATATCAAAGTTCATAAATACAGAACCAAAATACATAAACGATCAATGGAAAAATGCATGATAATGAAACATAATGAATAACAACAATTACATGTAAAGGACATAAAAAAAACATACGCCTTGATAATTAAATAAATAAGAAACAATTTCTGGAGCAAACCAAGAGAAATATTTATATCAAAGTGCGCATGCGTAAGGTGTTTTTTTTCCGGGAAGTTTGTAAAAACTGAGGCCCGGCATGCAAATTATGTCGAAATGAAATATAAGTAATTAGTTGTTATAATGAAAAGCTGTTGAAATAGAATGATATGGAATAATGGATTGTATATCGGACTGTAGAGAAACATAGATAACAGACAAATACACGAGATATATATATATATATATATATACAAATACAAGGACAAAATGATCGATAAAAACGATATTCGTCACAAATAACATAAAACACGAATATCACCACATGACCGATACAATCACCAAAACGGTGAGATCTCCCTTTCATTCTTGGGTTAATTTGCACTGTTCAAGGTATTGAAATTTGCAATCCTATAAAGATCCTGGGAAGATATATATTACAGTAAGGCTGAAGATAGCAAGCAATCGATTATACACCTTACTATAACTTAAAGATCCTGTAACACATTTTTTTATGGTTTATATCATAAATATAATGCTCAAATGAAGATTTATCAATATTGTAAGTTCCAAAAAGCATTATTTGTAAAGAAATTACCGAATTTACATTTCATGTTAATGAAGGGAGGTAATTAGAATTTATTTCAATAAGAAATGAATGCATATATTTAAATGACTATATATAATGTGGACAAATATTTGCAGTACATATTTTACATATTCTTCATATACATATACATATATGCTTGTCCAATACAAATCGATATTGCAAACGTTCCGTTTTAATAACACGTTATATATTGATTGCAAAAAGCACATTTGTCCTGAAATCTCATATAAAAAAAGAAAATATGAATTTTAAAAGTGGTTATACTGAACATGGTTTATTTTAGTATACCTAGGTAAAGTAACTGTACAAAAGGATCGAGTAAACGCAAACAAATATTTCAAAACAAAAATATGACAGGATATAATTTGTTTTAACTGAAATGGCAAAAAGTACCCTCTTATTGCATAAGACCATAGCTGATATTTCTTTGATTATGCCTTTTAACATTAATAACTGATTTACGTGTATATGTAAATAATCGTAAGAAGGACTGACGTTGTTTTACGAGACTAATCTAACAAGTTTTGAGACCAAACTTTTCCTTATCTTTGCCCACTTTAAGTGACGTATATTAAATGTGAATAACAAGGATAGAGTATATTTAGTGTGTATTATAGCTGGGGACAAAATACGATTAAAATGTGTCACGATGGATCATAAATAAACTAGTTCATAGAGGACTTTACCAGTATTTTAAGGATACAGCTATTGATATAAGCTTTTTTGTGCCTTCATCTGTAAGTCTTCATATCAGCGCGGGCCATTCTGAAAAGAATTAAAATGGGTAAGATGCTTCTCTTTAGAAGTGCTTCACATTATTTGACTTTTGTGACATGGTATGCAATAAGCATACAATAAGTAATGCCACACTTCAACGCGTATGATTTTAATAAACATATTCTATCACTTGAATGTCCGTTTTCATAGCCGTAATCAGGGTCTTTAAAATAGAATTCTATTTGAAAGACCCTGCCGTAATGGTGTAATTTGAGAAACCAAACATTTTCGATAGCCAAGTCTGGGCTCGAACCACCAACCTTTATTTATTATTTAGATGTGTGTTCATAAACCATTTAGCCCACCACTCCTTGCAAAAATCTTAAAGCGGCGGTGAGACCACGTGGTATCACTGTTTACTCGTGGTAATTAAGTTCGATTCCTTGATCGCGATTCCAACTTACATAGATGTACCTGTCTGTGTAACTAATGCACATCTTTAAGCATAAACCTCCTGCAAGTGATTGGCCTTTGCCACCACTATAGGGTCAGACAAGCCTGCACGTCCATGAAATATGACCACAAGAAACTATACTGTTGACTGGCAAACTGTAAGCTTTCGTACTGACAATCTAAATAGGCAGTTCCCAGAAAATGATGCTGAACAAGTTCATTTTACAAATTCAGCAAGTTTTGGGTTAAGCTGAGGAATTGAAGTAAGGAGAATCTTGGAGGATTCACCCTGTATGGTCTCACACTAACAAATATACTATCTGTTGAAACTCAAAACACTATTCAATAACCTATGTTGAAACTAATAGTATTCGTTCTTACGCCACGATTATCAATTTGATAACAAGAAATTTGGTATTTAAGGTATAAAATTGTTCTTTTCGAGCAAAGATCTTTGTTCAGGGCTTCTACTCCTTAGATATTCTTATACGGTAATGTTATATTTTAATTGAGGAGCTTTAAAATGGTAATTTATTAAAATAATTTATTAAAATAGTGTTGAACCATGTGTGTGGATATGTTACCTATTCACAAGACTTGATGTACCCTAATATTCCAAATATTATTATTTCAGGATCAAACTTAATCAAACGGGTATTCTTCATTCATTCAGTATTCATCACATCAATTATATCTGCAGGTAAGCTACTTGTTTCATTATAAGTGTTTTATCTTATTATTTCAGAAAATTTCGTCAATTAATAATAATCATTTGTAGACAAATAATTGATCGATAATAGTTCTACAACACTACAATACAACACACTGACTTCACCCCTTTCAGATTTCATTTTACTAATTTCCATCCAAATTATTTTTTTAGTTAGGACACGCACACATTCTTTTTATTTGGGGACCGATTACAGCTTTTAGTGGAATGTCAATGAAAGTATCACATTGAAAGCCACACTCGTATGAACTCATCTGCGGATGTCTCTAAATAAATAAAGAAAACCTACTATTTTCATGTTTTACTCAAGTCGGTGCTAAGGGGACCTTGGCATGACCTTGCATACACCACGGCCGTTTATAAACATGCTCAGTAAACATGACTGCAGTATTTTGAATTTTAAATGTGATTATATAGGTTTCATTCTAAAAGGAAACTTAGAGGAAAAGAAATTAAAGAAATTTGATTCAAATGTAAATGATTTTTATTTTAAATTGGATATTCTGTTATTTTCATTCATAATACATTTTTTCTTTTCGTTTTTGTTTTAAACACATCGCAGGATTGCTTTAATTGCACTGACATCAGATGAAAATTTTCCGACTTTAATTGTAATGTCAAAGTTGTCAATAATCTTATTTATTACATATTTTACCATCTTTTGTTTTAGATACATCATTGGATTGCTTTAGCTGCACCGACATCAGTAGCGTTGATGATTGCCACGCAACAAAAACTTGTTCACCAACACAGGTATTCGCTTCCAAGAAATATTAGTTCAAGTTCAAAGTTAATTGGCATTCAGCAAAAACATTTGCCTATGGCCATTTTCAGATATATCATTATGTCAAAGACGGTAGTGATATAGATAAAAACAAACATACTTAAGTATATTAAGTTTATGTACAATAACAATATTCACAAAACAGTAGATATTTTTAAATCTGTACTTAAAGATTAAGCATTCTTTGCGAGCGAATTTTGAAAGATTTAAAATGGTTTTTCTATACTTTGAAGACATTCATTTTTAAATCTTTGTACAGTTGACCATAAAAATGTACCAAGATATTTTGATTCTCAGATCTCTTGTATATTGAACTTTATAAAACAAAATGATATTCATTTTCAATAAAAATTTTGACAACATATTTTACATTTTATATTACTTCTATCAATATTGTTACACCTACTAGTTTCTATCTCAGTATTTCCTCCAGTATAAACACACACAGTTAAAAAGCACAAAACGTAGGAACATGCACTTTGTATTGTCATTTGAAGAAAAATTCCGCGCATATGATACGCTAGGTTTTGTTTTTATTCAAGAAACGTTTGTCACATTAGTTTAACATAATAAGGTAATTACCGGGGCTCAGCAGTCGCCATTTTCTCGTGGGTATTACTATACAAAGTCACATAGTCTCGCCCCCTCCCCCCCTGTGATAAAGCCAAAAGAGCCTTCGCCTGTGCAGTCTGACCATGCTCTATACTGTTGGCGGATTTATTTTAAATTTTCATCTCGATATACCTAAAATGTATATTTATCAAGGTCAAACTAAGTGCACTTAAATGGCATTTTTAATTGACTGTTACTTTATGTACTTAATGCTTTTTATTGACTTTTATTTAATTCACTTTAGTCACTAATTTAAAATTTTAAATTGACAGTTTGACATTATTTTTATTATTTTTTCTCTCTTTATTGTTTTATTTTAGGTACTTTTAATTTACTTACGTAACAACCCTTTTTTCAATGTTTTGTGCATTATTTTTTGCTTAAAATGACTGTAATGTTATAAAGGTATACATTTCTTACAGTCGTGTTATACAGAAGAATACACGAATGGAGGAAAGAAACTGTATACACTTGGCTGTAAAGAGAAAGTGGTAAGTTCAGACAATCAAAAGTACTTAATCCAATTTATACATTTCAATTCTTTTATTAAGCGTATCATACGGTTGAAAAAAAATCCGTCGTTACAAATGTAAAAAGGAGGTACTTGGTTATGTTATTCAAGTATCTATATTTTACAAATTGATCAATCTTATAAATTGATCAATCTTATAAATTGATCAATCTCTCATCATTTTATTATACGTGTGAATGAACTGCTTTTGATGATAGATAATAACTTCTTATGCTTGTTTAAAGCGAAATTCTATAGATGCAGCAACTGTCTTTGTGCAGCTGGTGTTTTGTTTTCCTTTTCATCAGGGCAAAACACCAAAATGCGATTAATAAAAGGTGAAAAGACAAATAAGTTACCCCTAAAATGTCAAAGATAAATATGTCGCTGTGTGTTGTTTTCTTTTCTGGTACATAAACAGAAAAAAACTGCGTCATAGAACAAGAAACACCTATTAAACTGTAGGAGCTGAATGTTTTGACTTTAATTTATTTCAGTTTTGCGAAGGCCTGGATGTCACACATTTATTTGGTCGTAGAGATACAAGCTGTTCACAATGTTGTGCCCTACATGGTTGTAACAAGTACCTTTGTCCTCTGAGATTTACCGTTGCCCCACCACCAGGTATATGATCTAGCTTTATTTCTTTGAAATCAGCATCGCTTTACGATCGCCTTAAGATTTGCTATCTAGCCATTAGTCTCTAACATTTGTGTCACATCAAGGTTTATTATCTAATTATTACTCTCTAATAATGGCACCTCCCCAGTTGTATTATCTAGCCATTAGTCTCTTATATAGGCGCCACCTACAAGTATATAATTTACCTTCACTGGCGCCTCCTCTGGTTGGCCCTATGCAATCTAGTTTTTAGTCTTTGACATTTGCTCCGCCTCTAGGTATATAATTTAGCTTTAAGTTTAAGCCATTTTCCACATTTACGTATATACAATCTAGCTATAGACCTTTGTCATGGCGCCATCACTAGGTATTTAATCTAATATTTAATCGGCGCCATCACCGGATTCATCATCTAGCTATAAATGGCGGCGTCATCTCTAGGTATGGATTTTGGTTATAAGGCATTTTGCAATAAGTCTTTAACATTGGCATTATGTATAAAACCCATTTATGTGTCTCTGACATTCGCTACACTACTGTCTTTCAGGGACATTTGTTAAAAGTTGTCCAGTAGCGTTATTACTTCATTTCAATCATTTCATATCAGCGATACTGCATATCTTTGCTAAGGATCGTAAGAGGTGTTGCACTTTACATTGTCTGCCATCAACAGCATCAATAACGCCGAGTGTGCGATATGCACTTTATTGTTCCCTTGAAATCTTTTCAGATTGAGTTTTTCCCTAATATGTTTCGGTTTGAATTACATAAAAAACTGGTTTACAGAAGGTCAAACGCTATATAAATAGTCATTCATGCCCAAGATTAATACTTTCTAGTTCATCTCTTTCACATGTTACACTATAATTTTGATTGTGTAACATTAACGTAACATTATGGTGTACACACCTCTCTCATTTAGTTGATGGGGAATGGTCATTATGGGGTGCTTGGGAAGGTTGCAGCTCCACATGTGGTATAGGTCTACAGTTCAGATACCGGAAGTGTGATAACCCTGCGCCATCGTCAAATGGTAGACTTTGTCTTGGAGATGCCAAGGACGTTGGGCTCTGTAATATACCGTGTGTTGGTAAATGCTTCTGTTTGTTTGTACATGTTTTTGCATTAAGAATCAATTTATACTTGTCGCCGGAACGAACCCATATGTACAAGAATATCAGCGAACTTGCTGGTCCGGTCGTTATAGCTTTACAGCAGCGCACTTTAAAGCAGAATCTTCCTCTTACCTGTTTTTCATTCGACGGTGGTAAGAAATCGGCATCGTTGATTTATAGAAAACGGTTTATGTTTGCGCCACCTCCCGAGTTAGTCACGACAGGTCAAACACAGTCATTCCTGGAACTTAGTATAACATTGACTCAGTGCCGTGTCTCCTTCGGGGGGGATTTTAAACGTGATAAATTATTCAGGTTCTTGCATAGATCATTTAATACAGCTTACTTTTTTACTATAATTGATATTTAACAATAGTTCACTTTCACTATATTTTGATTTTAACATCACTTGCTTTAAATCACAAGTTTGTACTTTTTATGATAAAAACTAGGTTATATTTTTAATAAAACTTCCTTCATTTCGTTGCTATAGATCCGGGTACTGCCATTGTAACTGATACGCCTACTACTACGACGCCAGTTACAACAGAAAAAACGACGTCACCGACAACGTCACACTATAATGACGCAGCTAATTCGACGATAAAATATTTTACCGGAAGTCTGACACAAGCACGTGAGTTGTTTGAGGCGTTTCTTTAGGGATTCTGTTTTTTTTTATTTTACATTGCACTTCATTTCAAGATGGCATAACATTTATAATCAGTAAATAAGACGGTGACCCATTCAGTACATATTAATAAAGTAACTTATTTACAGCTGTTTGTATAAGATATTAGTTTAATGATATTGTATTGGAGCTATTTGAAAGAATTATAGAATATTTATTGTTTATAAATAAAGATATTGACTAAATATTGGAACAAATACTTACACAGGGTGAGACAAGTCCTGTCTTTAAAAGTAAAAAAAAAAAACCCCAAAAAAACCAAAAAACAACAAACAAACAAAAAACCAAAAAAAAACCCAAAAAACAGCTGTAAGGTGTAGCAGAGATTAAAGTAGGCCGATAACGATTATCAATATTGAATGACTCGATTCTTTACGGCATTAAATATTGATTTACAGTAAAGTAGAAGAAAAAGAGCTATGATAATTCTAAAATAGAAGCGAAAATTGTAACACTGCTTTTATAAATTTACACGAACATCCGAATACAGCAAATGCTCCAGATTCTTATCCTAACGTTCCAATGTCCAAATGTTCGTTTCCATCCCTTAATTTAACTTAAGTCTGTCTTTGAAGGAAAAGTCAATTTTGACCCTTCTCATTATATAAATGGTCAAATTTTTCATAAATTTAATATACGAGTATAATATATACAATAATACAATTTTGCATGCTATAAAAGACACTTTCTTTAGGGGTCATGATTGTGAATTTGAACATTCGAGGTAAAATATGTTCGTTTAGAGTATGCCTATTACCTTCCTGGTATTTTACATCTCACGGAATAAAGTGTAGGCTCGTTCTGTCGGAGCTATCCCAATGTAAATGTCTCCACGAGAAATTAAAGAGCGAGAAATTAAAAGATCTTGTTCTATGTCCATCTTTGAGAGTTTAATTTCTTTATCACATAATTTAATAGAAATCTATGAAATTCTTACTGAATATGTCTAATTTGAACTATGTATGGGAAGCTGGGTTCCCAATGACGGGCTAAGTAAAACTGCCACTTTTTTTTAATGACACTAAATATTCTCATTGTGTCCATCTAAAATGTGTACAGAAGAGTTTAAAGTTTTGAAAAATCAATTTGAGCATGGTATATCTTTAATTATTTGTTTATATTTACAGCTGGAGAATGCAAGGATTTGATAGATTGTTCTGGGTATTACAGGCCCGAATCTTGCCATGGTATATACAGTCCCTGGGCTCATAGATATTGTCCAGCTCATTGTGGATTCTGTCCAAGTAAGTTTTTTTTTAAATTTTACTTCATTCTACAAAAGCTCTTATATTGATAATATATCAAATAACATCAACATTTATTTTGTCCAGAGTTACCGTCGCCAATGTCATTTCCAATCAGGCTTAAAAAGGGCACACGCATTCTTTTACTTGGGGGACCATATACAGATTTTCATGTAATGACACGGAAGTGTCACATTGAATGTTCCATAACTGCCGTATGAACACATCTGCGGATGTTTCTACATTCAAACTTTTTACCATTTTCATGTTTAAACGTTGAATCTGCTTAAGCCAGTGCTAGGGGCATGAACGGTAACTTGCATTATCCAGTACCATTTTATGAATAGACTCAATCAATATGAGCCTGCAAAAGTTTCAATTTTGTCGTTTTGGGCGTTTTTTAGGGATTCTGACTTATTTATTTTAAAGGCCCCAGAATTGCTATCATTTTTATTTTTAAAAAATGTCCATTTTTGGTATCTTGTTACAGCTTTCAAAACATACTCATTTGCTATATACATGACCTATCCTTTGCATATTTAGTTCTGTTGGCAATTGGTATAATAATAGTGAATTAGTATTTCGTATGAAAGTACAAATACTACTTTCATTACTTATCAACTACACAAACTTTTCTATCTCCAACGTTTCGAGGGGTTAAACCCCTCTTTATCAAGGAGTTACTGTTTATTTTTATATAAATCACATATTTATCTTCTTACATGTCCTATCTTTAACTATGTTATGCATACAGGAAATGACGCCGTTAAACAGTAACTCCTTGACGTTGGAGATAGAAAAGTTTGTGTAGTTGATAATTATAAATTAACTGTTTCCAGATAGAATACTTTCATTACATATTACTACCTTTATGACACATAACTGCATGTTCAGTGCTATTTTTTCTGTTTTACAGATAGCATGGTCTTAACCCATCATTTAAACACTATTAAACACATATTTGACATTTTAAAGTTAAAAAATATATGGATTTCTAAGGTATAATGTGCCGTAAATACCATTGACAGTGCATTAAATAGTTTAAATATTTAACTTCAAGATTTTTTAACTTAATTTAGCTGTTACTATTTTAGCTGTTTCTGCACCACCTTGCGTTGATACGATTCAAAACTGTAAAGAATACCAGTCCGACGTGTGTACCAATCAGGCATTTTGGCAATGGCGCGAGTCACATTGTAGGAAATATTGCGGCCTCTGCTAGTTTGTTTATTATAATTATGTCATTAACTTATTAAATATATGTATAGTGATGATTTTATTTGTTAATTTATCTCATGAAGTAAAATATATTATTATATAATCTATAAATAGCGTTGAAATGCGTTTCCCTGATTGACTAAGAAGTATCTTTGCCTTGGTCAATATTGATTTTTTCAGTACATATCACATCATATTCACCAGCCAAAAAGTCCGTATTTGTATAATATTTGTTAATACACATGTTATTATATATAGTAACAACATTTAGGGTATTTCTAGTCCATTATGACCAGATTATTATCAAGTCATTATTAAATTTTGGCCGCCTTGCTACTCGGCAATTATTTTTCCATAATTGGTGAGTGAATAACGTGCTAAATGACGTAAATGACTCTCGTTAACTTTTAAGATGGCTGCTGTCGTTGAATGAACTGTTGTCACAACTTTCAATCAATAATTTTTGGTTTAGATGGCATTATCAATTGCAATCAAGAAAGTTAATGAGTAAAAGATCTATAAACTCAAGAAAAAAAACCCACAATAACTCTTCCAGAGTCCAAACGTGACCCTCAAAAATCCTAAAATTAATTCAGAATGACGATGGGTCTTCTGTAGATCTATAGACACGAAGAACAACAAAAGAAAGTTCAAAATAATGAGTGGGTCGTTTATATTGTAAATCATGGAGTTTAATTATTGTAGTAGTGAAAAATCCAAGACAGTACGTTACACCTTGATAAGCGATCATAGAAAAAATATTCAAAATATCGGTATATAGTTCCATAGTTTATACATGTATTAGGCTTAAACAAGAGACAATGCATTGTCTAGGACTAGATTATGTTAAAATGCTGATTTGAGCTTCATTTCTTTCAGAAAGAATAGCATAAAATATCTAACAAAAATCATGAACAAACTGTTGATTGAAACCTTAATTATTCTACTGATTTGACTGTCTTGCTGAATAGTTTATATAGCATGTTAAGAAGGGTCCTTCTTACGAGTTTTGAAAAAAAAATCTTGGTCTCAATGTTTTACGTCAGTTCTGAAAAAAACTGACCTAAATACATGTTTTTATGGTTAAAAACACATCCTGATAAGCAATAGTCAAAGTGGGAAAACAGTTTAATTTTTACTCAAACAATAACAAAGTAATTGCTAGGATTATTTACAAAGGCTCCGTTTTCAATGTTCAGAATTTCTGGCGCTGAATTACACTTTTGAACTGCAATCTGAAACAACAATAAAACATTAAGTAAAAAATATGCGGACATTTAAAATGAATTGTAACGTTATGAAAAGACCTTAATTTGCAGCTATCTGCTTATTATGTAACATAAAGAGTGACCCTTGCTGCCATATAAGGTAAGCAGCTCCCGAACGGTTAAAAGAAACAAGAATTCTGAAGGAAGAAAAATATAACAACACATCTAAATGAAATATTGAGTGATTTTTACAGCCGCCACACGTCATCTTTGTCTGCTGTTGTTTAATATATAGGACAGGGAAAGTACGTCAATAATAATAGAATAAAGCAGTATCAAATATGTATAATGGTTTTGGTTTGAATGCAGGAATTCATACTTTAATTCGTAAAAGATTATGAAACATCTCTCTTAGCCAATAAATAAGTTTACACGATTTTTATGATATTTGTGACGGGTTTTCAAAATTGATATTTTATTTCATCTTGAAATTATATGTTTGATAACTATTTAAATGAAAAATATAAGGTTTTTGTTCTCACCTTGATACCAGAGTTGTGACAGCCAAGGAAGATGCCACTCTGTGCTCCTAGTGAGGCATAGTTTTCAGTGTCAAAAGTTGACACGGGTGTGTAGGTCGGTATTAATGGGTTGCCCGACTGGCAGTCTGCCAAAACCTTTGATAAAAGTTATGTATAGTGTTAAAAGTCTAATTGTTGTGATGAAATAATGGTAAATTGAAAAAACGAAGAAAAAAACACGATGATATGATATTGCAGGCTCAGTTTAATTGAGCCTGTTCATGGGCGGCTGTGATTGCACCGACCGATTTCAACAGACAACTGAACATTTCGCCAAATAAATATGGAGCAACATTTGGTTTAAATAGTGTTATGCATAAGTATAAAGCCTTTTTTATTAGATTGTCTGTAATCTTTAGACTATTAATTTGTATCTTGATAAAATGCATAATATCTATTTAAAATCAAATAATAAAGTAAACCTTATACTCGTTGCATCTATTTCCGCGTTACATCCGGTTCCGCGTTATTTTCATTTTTCGTAATTTTCACTTGAAGCGCCACCTGTATGAAAACAAACGTGACCTACTTTTCGCTGGGACAGATATATTTGTCAAATACTGCAGAATGAACCGCTTTCTGGTATGTTATATATTTAAATGTATAAGATTAATACAAAATAATGATGATATAAACAAAAATACAAATGTTTTATATCCATTTACCATGAAATATCTTATTGAATTTGCGTGCCGTTTAAAAACCTCCACCATACCATAGTCAGTAAAGGTTACAAAACACTAAATTTTTTTCTTCCTCAGGGTACTGGTGTTCATGGTACAAGTGGTAGAAAATCTTATGATAGAGGAAATTTGAAATTGGCCTATGAAGCTACCTTGTCTGGCATGTCTGTCTATAGGGCTTGTCGCATGTATGGTGTGCCAGAATCTACATTAAGGGACCGCACCAGACACATTGTGTCAGTTAATTGTAAAGTAGGGCCAGAAACTTTGTTTACAGACATAGAAGAGGGTAAGCTGGTTCATCACACCAAACATATGGCCAATGTGGGTTATGGGTATACCATGACAAACATTAGGTTCCTTGCAGCTGACTATGCACGTTCTTTGGGTAAAGATATAAAATTTAAGGATTCTTTGATCACCATATGGTTTTATGCCTTTCTTAAACGACACCCAGACCTGAAAATTGTGCAACCACAAAAGCTTGAAATTTCTAGAGCAAAAGGGGCTTCACAAGAAAGTATAGAAAACTACTTTCGTGAGCTGCAAGACATCCTTACTGAAAATGACCTTCTTGATATGCCTGAACGTATATACAATATTGATGAAACTGGTATAAGCACACAACACACTCCACCAAAAATTGTTTTTGAGAAAGAATCTAAACCCCAGTCGGTTACATCTCCCAGATCATCAAATGTAACCATTATAGGTGGTGCCAATGCACTAGGCAACTTTGTTCCTCCGTACTATATTTTTCCGGGTAAAAGATGGAATCCCGAGTTCATCAAAGATGCACCTCATGGATCTGGAGGTGAAATGTCAGACAGTGGATGGGTGAATTCTGGTATATTTGAAAAGTATGTCACAGAATATTTGAGCAAGCACTTTTCTCATGCTTCAAATGCAGAAGACAAGCCTCCAACCTTGATTTTGTATGATGGGTATAAGTCTCATCTATCATTAAAACTTACAGAGTGGGCAAAGAAATCAAATGTGCTTTTATTTGTGTTGCCACCACACACTAGCCATCTCACTCAACCATTAGATGTTGGTGTATTTGGGCCTTTTAAGAAATTTTATTATTCTGAATGCTAGCAGTACCTTCAGAAGAACCCAGGAGCTTACATTACCAAATACGAAATTGCTACGTTGAATGGGAACTCCTACCTGAAGGCATTTTCCCCATCAAATGTCACTGCTGCATTCAAGAAATCAGGTATTTTTCCTTTTGATGATAAATGTATATCTGTAAAGGATACTGCACCACCATCTATATATCCAGTTGAGAAAGCTGTAGAGTCATCTAGTTCTAATGCATGTGAAAATGTTCCATGCCAACAGGAGGTTTCACATGAAGATCCCAAGTCTCATGAGCCACAATCTCATGAACATGTATCTACTTTCTTTGAGAGCAGAACAATTACATCTGTGCAAGGGAAGCAGAGGCCAAAGAGAACATTTGTTCCTCCCTATGTGTGTGGCAATTTGTTAAGTAGTAAAAATACAGTTATTCTTGAAAATAAAGTAAAATCAAATACATGTACAAGCAAGTCAGCCACCAAAAGTGTTAACAACCAAGAAATCTGTGCCACACAAAGCAAAGTCAATACTTTCAAATCACATGTAAATCATACAAAGCCAAGTACATCTGGTATATCTAAATCTGGAGGACCAATCTGTCTCACTACACCATCCATCTCTGAAAGCAGTGACAGTGACATTGGTGATTCAGATGAAGACAAAAAATGGGGAAAGTGTGATTATTGTCCACACTGGGTGCACTTGAAATTTTGTACTGAAGTGAAAGTGCTCAGGAGGGCAACTGTCTTTAGATGCCCCCCATTGTGCAAAAGAGGAGTAATAAAAACAAAAACAAAAGTAGTGTGTGAATGTTTGTGTAAATGAACATATTATTGTTGATGTTTTACAAAAGTTTTGTTATAAATGTGTGGTGGCTGAACTTGTTTAACATTTGGAACAGTTAGTGTTTTGATACCGTTAAATTTATTCATACAGTATGGTATATACTTTTATACCGCGGAACCAGATTTACTTCCCTTCAGTAATGGTGGCTTTCACGTGACCTAAATAATGCCGATAATAATTAATAATAAAAACAGTAAACATTTGATGTATATTCTTTATGCTGCTCCTTTAATGAAAGATTGGTGGATGTATTGAACAAAAAAGAAAACAAAGGTAAGTGACTTTTATATTATATTTATTCGTTTTTACGCTTAGTACCGCGGAAATAGATGCAAACAGGGTAATTGAAATGACGGTGTTTAAAATTTTCGAAAAACTTGATAAAGGCATATCTAAAATACTTGATAATATTCCCGCCCCCTCCCCCCAAAAAGAAACATAACGGATGGGTTTATACCAAATCCTTTTAGAATTTCTACCAAGTTTAAAGAAGAAGCCTTACGTTTGCTCCTCTTTTCCACGTCACTGGTGACGTCATGTTGCACGTGGAAAGGATATACGCGTCGTCTGAACCACCTGCTGCCGGATTGCAATAACTGGAATTTGGATCAGTCGCTTTTATTGATTTTGCGATATCCTCTATTACTGCCAGC